ATTAGGGAGAAATTCTGCATTTTTTTGAGAGCTAATCCATGTTTGAGGTGGATCAGGATTTTAATTAATTAGTCATATATATAGTTGAAACATGACATGAACTGGGAGGTACTGAAGCACTGCTCATCTGCCTCGGCCCCTTATGGTGTTGCAGCAATGGAATAGCAAAAGTGGATCTTTTGCGTCTTCATAAATGTGCTTTTAAGTAATTAATAATTCTGAAATTTGCTAGAAATAATATAAAAGGTAAATGCATGGGTTAATTCATTGAATACAAATACTACAGTAATTATAGTTTAAACTCAAAATTTGGTCAGGACTCAGGAACAATTAATTTATAATATTTGGATTGGAGGATGCACGGGAGTAGCGATATTATTTATCCTACATATACTTCAAACCAAAATTAGATTAGATGGAATTCAGCGCAAATTCAATTTCACAAACAGGGTTGTGTCCAACTTGTTTAGATGGTTTGTATTTGCATGCCATTTTTCTTTGCAATCGAGACTCTGCCATTTGCAACAGTTAACACCTCACTGGATTCACCTCCACCTTCTAATTGCGTTTTCTTTTATTTTTTTACCGCATCATGGCCGGCATCATATTTTATGTGGATCTTTATGTGGATCTTATGTGGGACCCGTGCCGTGTTTTAGTAATTACTACTATTACTAATTGATGTTTAGGGATATCAACGGATGAGAGACAATTGGGCTTTGATCCACGCCGTTGATCAGGGCAACAAGGCCAATGTCCCTTAACTCACGCCATTGATCTCCTACCACTTAACTCAGGTGGACCCTCCCGTTCAGCGCCATTTGGTTCCTATTTATATGCTTCTTTCGTCTTAACCTTCTTCATGGCTTATCCATCTTCCTCACAAACAAAAAATCGGCCTCGGTGCAACAAGTTCGGATACGGCTATTGAGTACTTTGAATCTTACTTCTGTTTATGTTCCCCTCGATTTACAGTCAGATTTGTTTGTATTGATGTTTTTGGAACTGGTTATGATTCATTTCAAATCTTGATTTAATTTCCATTCCAATATTTTTTTTTTGAACCTCCCGAAAATTGGAACTCCAGTTCAATAGTATGTTGTTGGTTTCATCATTTAATAAGATCTGAGATTCAAAGGAGATAGATCATGATTTGGGGTTGTTGATTTGGTTTGTGTTTGGTTTTCAGTTATGATGGGGCTGTCTTTTGCGAAGCTGTTCAGTGGGCTTTCTGCGAATTCTTATGGTAGGTCTTTATGCGGCTGGTGAGATCGCCGTTCTGTATAAACTCAAGCTTGAAGAGATTGTGAGTACTATTCCCATAATTGGTATGTTCTTTTTCTGTTTTTACAAATAATACATTTAGTTCATGTGTTGTTTGATCACTAATGATCTTTCTGTTTTGCCTTCTTTTATAGGGTGTAAGACTGTGGAGTATAGAACATCAACTTCACCGTTTTAAATTTTCTTGATTGCTTCGGCCCAGGTTCACCTCTTTTGCTAGTAATTCATGCTGATTAAGCTTCTTTTGATTTATTTTTGTGAGTTCAAGATCAGTTAAGGGTTTTAGTGTCTTGATATTTGTTGTAAATGGTCAAAGAACTTGGTGTCCATGCAAAACAATCGTGGGTATGATGAAAGATTCTTCCTTTTAGTCAATTGAAAGAAATTTATGATCTGGATCTGCTGTTTTTAGTACAGGAGCATGGAAGGACAGGGAGGAGAGATACGATCTAGCGAGGAAGAGAATCATGGAGGAAATGCAGCAGCAGGGACACCATCCGTCGTGCAAAACGCGGCCGGAGAACGTGAAGTACATTCGACATCATCCAAGGATTCCATCTTCAGAATTCCAGGCTTGTTTAAAATGCGTAATAAACAGGCTTATACGCCCTATAAATTCTCAATTGGTCCCTGGCATTTCGGCAAAACACAGGAGTTGCGCGCGGGACAAAAATGGAAAGAGTCCTTTCTTGAACAACTCATTAATCATTTCTCAGATCCAGCAGCAAAGAAGAGAGAGTTGGAAGAATCCATCAAAAATGTGTGTGACAATGCTAGAGAATGTTATGTTTATGATGCGGGAAAAAATATGGATGGGGCCAAAGAAGAATTTGAGAACATCTTGCTACTCGATGGTTGCTTTATTATCGAGTTGTTGCGCAGGAGAAGTCATCCGTTTCGTCTTTCAGGGGATAATTATCAATTTATTTATCACGACCTATTATTGCTAGATAACCAAATACCTTGGTTTGTGCTTGAGCTCTTGTTTAACAAGACCAATGATTACTCCGATTGCCCGAATCAATCTTTGGTTGAGTTGGCCATTGAATTCTTTGGACCTGTTATTCCCCCCTATAAAAGTCAACGTCAACTGCAAATTTCAAATATTTTACACCTGGTCGATTTTGTGTGGTATTTCTTGGTTGGCTCACGAACAAAGAATATGGAAGGCATTTTTGAGTGGGGTTGTAGGTTATCTATTCCATCTGCTACCAGACTCGAAGAGGCAGGAATCAAATTTCAGAAAATCGAGTCAGAACACCCCTTGGATGTAACATTTGACAAAGGTGTCTTTAAAATCCCATGGTTGCGGATTGATCCACTGACAGAAACAATTTTCAGGAACCTCATCATCTATGAGCAATGCTCTAATTTTGCCCCACGTGTGACATGGTATGGCGTGCTCCTAGATTGCCTGGTCAACACCTCAGATGATGTGGATTTATTGAGTAGAGAAGAAATTTTTGATAACAGGATCAGCTCTGAGGAGACAGCTAATTTCTTTAACAGGGTCTGTGATAACGCTGTCATGACTGGTTTCCGTTATGCACAACTTTGCCAAGATGTCAACGATTATTGCAAGCGGAGATGGCCGACGTGGCGAGCTTCTTTGATCCGGAACTATTTTACTAAGCCATGGGCTATCGTTTCTGTAGTTTTTGCCACGATCGTTTTACATTTCACCATCATGCAGGTTTTCTATAAGTAATTTTTCTAGTACTTTTTAAGATTAGCGAAGATACTATCCGTTGCTCTGTATAATCTTTTCTATCAATATTGTATCAACGTATCTTTGCTTCCTATCTTTTGCTCAGTAGAATATTTTGATCAATATTCGATCGATCTATCCTCGCTTTCCGATCTATCTTTGCTTACTATCCTTTGCTCAGTAGAATTTGAAGCTGTGAGTGAAAATGTGGAAATGGAAACACGGGAGAGCTTAGGATGGAAGGTTTTTGAAAAGGAATAGATCCAGCGGTCCTTTTCTTCAATTTAATTCAATTTATTTTTCTTCCTTCGATTAATTTAGCTTATTTTCGGCAATTAGTTTCATGTATTTAACGGGATTACCCTCAACAATCTATTTTTAAATCACATCTTTTACCAACAACTTAAATAACTTAGTACAGTAATAATTTAAATGTAAGGATCCTAAGTTTGAGATTTTAAATTGCATAATATACGACTATAAATTAAAAAGTAAAAAGTAATTTTTTTTTTTTTATGATGGAGTTTAAGAAAAAAATCTATTATCTCTATTAAATCTCCCTCACCTTAAAAGCTTAAACCTCTAATGTGAAGCATGAAGCTCTTATAGTTGAGATTAAAAAAAAAAAAGTATAATTTTCCTTGTATATTTAATAATTAATTGATCACAATTACCTCCTTCTTATTAAATTCTTTTCTACTAGGTTGTGTTTGTTACCGGGAAGGTTCAAAATAATTTTTAGATTTACATATTTCAATATTTTTATTATAAGAAACAAATTATAAAATTAACCAAGTATGATTATTTGAGTAGGCATCTACTAATTTAAAAATAATGATAATTTTTTTTCCCTTTAAGAAAGTTTTTTTTTCCTCTTAATTGATAATGGTTTTCTACAACTTTTGGTAACTCTAAAATTTTAACTTTTATTCGGGATAATTTTTTTTATTTTAAGTTGTAAAATTAGAAATAACTCCTTTTTATTTATTAATCTATTCCACCTAAATATCATATTATTTAAATTTAAAATATATTATTTTTACCTAAAGAAAAATATATTACGCTACTTGATAAAAATATTGATCAAATATTGATCAATATTTTGATCAATTAATTGCGCTCTGCCGGCGCTGGAAAGGAGTCTCCTATTAATCAAAATTAGCTACCTTTCCAACCTAGCCATACCCATCATTCTTCTGGGAGGATGTGTCAATATATATATATAGAAATCAAACAAAAAACAACATCAAATAGCAATAAATAATAATATAGTTACAGTATCAAATAATATTTGATAACAAAATTATGAATACAAATGGTAACAAATATTGATGGAAATAAATAAATATTGACTAAAAAAATAAACTAAACACTAACAAATAAAGACAAGATAAAAAGATAAGCTTGATTAAAGTAAGCAAAGAACAAGTAAAATATTGACAATATGTAATAAATGAAAAAACATAAGTTAGTGTATAATTTTTTAGGTTTTTGTCATAATTTACATTCGAATAATAATTAGTTAAATAGTATTGTAGATTTGATTATAAATTTTACAAAAAATTATAAAAAAAAAGAAAAAGAAAAGGAAAAAGTAGTGCCTGTAAAACTTTAAAAAGCATTACAATAAAAATATTGTGAAAATAATTAAAAATTAAGACTACTTGCGGCAACAAATTGAATTTGTCAAAATCAAAGTTAATTTAGTCAACTCTCAAGTTTTGAATAAAAGAGAGTTAGATCCTTTTGTTCAAAATATTTATCATCAAACAATGATTTTAATCCAAAATCAAGAAGAGTTGTTAAAACAAGTCCATAAACTTCAAAGATTTAGGCCAACTTTTGAGGAACATGTCTTATGATAGTCACTTTGGAGTGAGGCATGTCTGTTCCTTTGTCTGATTTAATTATTATCCCTTTATCTGATTTTCAAGATTTTTCCATCTAACGAAGTCAAGATTATCATATAAATTTATCCCATCATCTAAGTCGTCATTGGGAAGGTCACCACACATGTCGACTCCATCTATACAATTTTTAGATTGATCTTCACCATTTTTATACTTCTTAGAGTAAAAATGTAGTTGTTGAGTGTAACTTGTTTAAGGTGTGAAGGGTTTGAAAATAAAATGGTATTAAAGCTATTTCATTTATATATTTGTATATGGTATAGAAAATGAATAAATTTTAGTAGTTTACAGACAGTCTTTTCTTTGCCAAAGATCTAGTTTGTCTTATATTCTTGTCAATAAATCTAACTATATTAAATACATTCTTAAAAGCTCAAGTTTTAGTTATGTAAATTTTGTTTTCTTTTTTGTCTAAAAGATAAGTTACTATTTGTCCAACTTGTTTTACTACTTTGTCAAAATAGTTAAGTTCTATTAAGATCTACTAAGGTTCAACCCAAGCATATATATATATATACACAAATGTGGGCATAGTTAAGTATACCAAGAATTTGTGAAGTTCTTTTTGTTTTCTCAACTTTGTCTAGAAATTCAAGAATCTTTTTTACTATACAATCTTAAAACTGAATTTTTCCTTATTCAATCCTCATTCCTAAAAATTCAATGTACTCTTTTGAGAGGTTCATCTTACTGAGTATATATAAAATATTTTTTTCAATTGTTTACTTTTACGTATTATCTAGCTTAAAGAAAATTTTTAACAAAAAGAATATTTTGTAACTTCCATTTGTCTCTCTCATTATTCTATATTCATGTACTTATATATAGATGAGAGTTTCCTATGCGATCTGCTTTTATATATGCAAAAAGCAAATGAGGAAGAAGTAGGAAATTAACAAAAAGCAAATGAGGAGACCTAGGGCATGGGCATGCCAAAAGATGTGGTGTGTGGGAGGATATTGAGGAGATCTATACTAGAGGTCGAGGCTAAGCTGGACAAGCAACGAGCAGAGGAAAATCAGATGTTATCTATAGCTTGTAGATTATTAATAAGAGAAGGACAAAGTTGAAATACCACTTTCAGTTCATTTTATATGACTCACTCATTTTCTATTTCAATATAAATGTTGATATAGATTAGTTTTTTTAATTTTTATTCAGGCAATTGTCATTCTTCTCACTTCTTATCTTCCCATGCATTGCAGACCTGGTGGTAAAACATCAAATTTCATTAATTAAAATCACATGAGAAGAAAGCTGTGCAGACACTCAACACTCCACTATGCACCTGCATTAAAGCAAATTAATTTTGTGATAGGGTGTTCAACAATCAAGTGTCCATTCAACATAAAGTACAAGTTCTACAAAGTAAAGAATTTCAGTTGGAATTAGAAACCTAGCTAGTCAAATGAGAAACTGAAATGGAAATTTCAATGAGCTCACCTGAACTGCAACACTGCCTTGAAGAATTCTCTGAAGACTTTGAAGACGTGAAAGTTGATCTCCTTCAGAACTACGGGGCTCTACAAGCTCATTTCGTAGTGTAGCTGTCCGAGTTTAATCATTCCTGTTGCATTTTCTGCTGGGGAGAATTCAAGTGATTCAGACTATATCAGCAAGAGTCTATTCACCAAATCATTAAGAGTAATAAAATAACTCTATAAGAAATAATATATCTTAAAATTTTATAATAAATGAACTAGCTATAGATTGTATTGTAATTGTAAATAATTAAATTAATTTATAATAAAAAATAAAATATTTCATGATAAACATAAAAATATTTCATATGATAGAAGTCTTGTTCAGCCTTGGTTAGTCCAGCCCATTAAATCGTCATTCACTGCGAACTATGCCTACGGTTCAAGTGGTTTGCCCCTAAGTGTTTAAGTGTTTAGGTTAATTAGTGCGATCGAAATTTTGAATCTTATCAATGTTTTAAAAATCTTCTTCTCTCAATCCCCCAAAATTGTACACTGTTTAAAAAAAAAAATCGTTATCAACTGCACGGACGATAAAATTGGCAAGCTAGGATTTTTTGCGCGCTTGATCATTTTTATTTCTTCTAATAAAATTTCCACGTCATAAACAAATAAATAATGACGAACAAAATTCTTCCCATTTGAAAATAAAGTTTGTTCCGTTGAAGTAAGGATAGCATGAAATTTATCGAGTGTGAAAAGAAGGAAAACTTCCAGTTATGGGGCAGCTTCAATTCAACGGCTCAGTTCCTTTCGTATGCAAGAAATTCTGTTGAATCTCAAGGATATCACTAATGTAGTATATCCAATCAATCACACCACGTTATTATTTTTACTGTTTAAGTTAAAAAAATATTGACATGGCGCAATGAAATGAAAAAAAATGAAGACATGGTATACTATAATTGATCAAAATACCACGGTAACGGTATCTTCGTATTCTCAGGGTGCAATAGAATTTCTCCTCGTGCACCGTTGTAAGGATGGGATGACAAAATCACACGAAAGGGACGTAAATCCTCTCACACTTCTTCCTGCTAGAAGCATCTAAGAATCGAATGTGGAACTGCGTATACCCTTTCAAAAGATACAAAATTAGCTAGGACTGGACAGATCTGAAGAAGAAAGTTAACTTTTCTGCAGGACAGAAGAGGCAAACGTTAACTAAATTTCAATTTGAGTCCCTGAACTGAAATGGCTTAAGCTACCACCTCGTCTTCTTGACGCCACTTTCTAAGTTCACTCTCAACCATGCTTTGCACTGCCTCTGCCATCTCTGCTGACTTCAAAGTCATCTCTGTTGCACCCTTGATTTCCTCTATTGCTTTCAAATTTGCCTCCAATTTTTTAGTCACCTCCTCATTGCTTGCATTGATTTCTTTCAGTTCTGCCATTGCAGCTTCTACTTTCTTCTCAGCTATAGGCCCACTTTCTTCCACTTTCTTTTTCAAAGACTCAAACTGCTCCACCGATATCTTAATCTTTCCGCCAGATTCTCTATTGACATTCCCAGCCGACAAAGCCTTCATTTCGTCAACTGCCTTTTTCTCAACTTGTTTTGCCTCAACCACCTCTCTCGAAACAATTTCTAGCTTTTTCTCAATTTCATCTTCCATTCTTCGAGAAGTCTCAGCTTCTTGCTTCAGCTCCTCAACTTTTTTCTTCATCTTTTCTCCTTCACGTCTTGCGTTTTCAGTTTCTGATAATAACTTATCAAGTTTCACAGCATCCTCTTCTGTCATTTTCTTTTCCGCAATGCATTCTCTTTCCGCTTCCTTTTTAGCTTCGACTTGTTCCCTCCTAACTTCATCCAGTTCCATCTTGAGGGAACACACTAAGTTCCGAAGAGAGGATTCGTCCTCTGCAGCGCGTTGCAGTGTCCTCGTAGCTTCATTCAGCTCTTTAGTTATAACCCTAATGGAATCCATTTCAGAAGCATGGGCCTTGTTCATCTCAATTTGTAAATACTCAACCTGTTCCGTTGTTTCTGCCAACTTGAGCTCCAGATTTCTAGTTAGCTCAGGATCAAATTCTTTCTTCAAGGCTAGAAATTTTCTTTCAGCTTCCTCCTTAGCATTCTTATAAGATAGTTCCAGGGCATCTCTGGCTTCCAGGATTTCTGCATGTTGTTGCAATGCTTCTTGAGTGACAAACTTTAGCTGCTGAATTGCTTCCTTCATAGCTAGAATTTCCTTTGAGAGCTCGGCAACCCTTTCAGATTGTGCTTTGGCAGCACGCTGTGCTTCTGCTGCCTGCTGGAACGCGACCAATTTGGCTTCCAAGGCAGCATCAAAATCTTGCCTGATTTGGTTGAGCTCTTGTTTTGCAGCATCAAGTTCAATAGCACTGTTGATGTACAGCTCTCTTGCACCCTCCAGTTCTTGTTTCCGAATAGTACTGCTCTCAGAATATTGTTCTGATTTGGTTGTTTGGAGTTGTTTGGCCTGTATCTTGACAGCTTCTGTAGCTTGAATTGCCAGCTGCTTCGCTTCTGTTACTGTTCTGAGTTTTGAGAAGATATCCTGGAGAGTTCTCTTGGACCTCTCTAGATCGGCCAGGGCTTTAGCCTTTGTAGTTTCAGCACTCTCCAGCTTCTGCTTAATATTGTTAAGTTCCTTGTTGGCCCACAGAAGCTGTGTTTCCTTGTCTATCACATTCTAGCCAAAATAGAAACAAGTCGAGGTTAGGCGTTAGCATATATTGCAGGCATGGATGAGGCAGTGCCAGACTAGCAGTAGTGTTAATAATGAAAATGATGTATACATATATAGGTACCTCTGAGGATAGTCTGGATCTGCGGGGAGTGCAGGGAGTGCGTTTCCCCCTAGAAACCACCGCTACCTCACCAAACAAACTAACAGCAGCTTTGACAGATTGAAAGGGCGCTGCGGTATCAATCTCTCCAACCTCAGACGACCTTGGAGAAGTAGGCGCTTTGCGTTCGCTATATGCACGCCGAATGTTTACCATCTTTCTTTATATATATATATATATATATATATATGGAAATTAATTAATATAGCAGCTGTTAATTAATTTGGTGGTAACAATAACATAACATGATTTCATTTCAATTAAGTGGTATATATTTGGTAACACATGACATTAGAATTAATAATAAAAATAGTGAACAATATGACATTACACATTAATCGTAATCTAAGATTTATCAGGCAATCAAGAAATATATTTATAAAAATGAAAGTGTAGAACGAACCTGAACCTGAAGTGCAAGTATTAATTAAAGGAAACAGGGCCAAGCCTCCGGTTATCAGGAAAGAAATTGAGAGAGATGAATGAATGTTG